GCCGATCCCCACTCTCGTGCACACACACAGACACGCACACACAGACACACACAGAGACACACGCACACGCAGGACTCGGAGTAAAATGAACACCGAGTTGGGACTTTTTCAGAATTTTTTTTCAGAACTTTGTGACAACCTTTGAACCTGCAAATGTTAACGCGCATCAGTTAAGTTTTACAGCAGTTGTTTGAAAAGCAGCGTTAGGTTACGTTAGCTTGGCGTTAGGATGGTCAATTGTGACGTTTTATAACACTGACATTCTGTCAAACCCTTTTCAGTGGAATTGTCATTGTCATGACATTTGGCGTTGCGTTTAACCTTATTAATTTCGCTATGATGCTCGTGAAATGGAATTAATGAGAGAAAAAAAACGTAAAGGAACTTTTCGGATGTTGATGCATTTTGAGAATAGTTTCATTACAGATTTAGATTCTCGCAGAGCGTGTAATGAATGCTGCGCAATTGCTGCTCTCGAATTTTAATCAAGGTTGAACAAAAAAGTACGAATACCGCGCTAAATGCGTTCATTTCAAAAGCGATTAGGCTGCCCGCGTTCACAATGAGACATTTCTGCATGCGACTCGCAGAGCGCTCACGCTGCACGCGACGTTAATGCGCCTCCGTTTATGAACGCGACACAGTTTAAAAGTCTCCATTCGAGACCGGCGCGCTAAATTTAGCGCGCATTTTTTCTCTGCCCCCTCTTGTTTCCTCTTGAATGAACCTGAATGCACGCGGGGCGTTCTTAACAAAATTACAAGAATTCTGTTGTAGTTCATGATCTGTTTAGGGCACCGCATAAACCAATTATATGTATTTTTTTCCAAAATGGCCGGGTGTCGAGTTTTGTCCTCTTAATCACAGAAGTTAGTTCAATACAGGAGGCCCCCTTTTTGCAATCGTTCTTTTTGGGACGGCAAAAAAAGCCGACACTCGATATTACTACAGCATGTTGATTGCTCGACACGACCACCAGCTCAGAGTCACTCAGTATTTATCCGATCAAAGCAGCCACCCCTTATTAGGCCTGACTTAAGAAAAATAAGGGGGCCCAGCTTTCTGGGCATTCAAATGTGTGCTGCTGTGGATGTTTTGTGTGTTGTTTTTTTACTTACCAAACTCCATTTTATTTCATATTCTTAGCTCTTTTGGTAAAGTCACGTTGAAGGGAAACAATAAAATAATAAAATATATAATATTTTATTGCTTTTTCGCCACACACGTGTTGAGAGATTCGCTGTACCAGACCAAGCCCTCAACGTGGAACTGTTTCGTCATGTTTTGTGTTCCATCACCACGCCGCAGGCCCACGATCCCTTTCTGCCTCCTGTTTCTCTCCTCGCGCTGCTCGACATTGGAATTTCCGCCCATCGTTTCTTTACCCCAAGTTGGTTAAAGCCTCGCTCAATTCAAGAAGGAGCGTCAGTGTGTATCAATTGCACAATCGACCGTGCCGTTTGTTGCTGGCCGCTTGGGAGTTTTGAACATTTGGGGGCCCTGTGGTCAGCAACCACGAAAAACAATGTTCTATTTATTTCTATCTAGCGCAATTTTGTTTTGTAACTTATAGCAAAATGGGTGAGGTAAAATGTTTTGTGTTTACGTGTGGTCATTTTTGAATGCACAATTGCCAATACCCTATATTTATCGTGATTGTTTCAACGTTGATCAGAGTTGCATTGTACTTGCCACGTGAAATCTACTCTAAATCTCAAGAGGCAATGCATTAAACGTGATTGATTATTACACCTCAATAAATTTATCCTTAAAAACGATTAAATCCCATGTTAATTTGTACTTAATTGCAGAGCATAGGCCCAAAAGCCTTAATTGTGAAGCGTTCAGCAACAACACAGCGCCGTCAATGTTGTAACAGATATAAGAGTGTGACACATTTCTTCAAGTGAGTGAGGTTATTATCGGAGCTTGGGGAAAAGAGACGATGGGAGGGGATTTCAAAGTGGAGCAGTGCGAGGAAAAGAAGCAAACAGAGAAGTGTTGTGACCTGCAGTGTGGGTGAGTGGGTAGGTGGGTGAGTTAGTGGGTAGGTGAGTTAGTGGGTAAGTGAGTGGGTGGGTGAGTGGGTGAGTGGGTGGGTGAGTGGGTAAGTGAGTGGGTGGTTGAGTGGGTGAGTGGGTGGGTGAGTGGGTAACTGAGTGGATGGGTGAGTGGGTGAGTGGGTGGGTGAGTGGGTAAGTGAGTGGGTGGGTGAGTGGGTAAGTGAGTGGGTGGGTGAGTGGGTGAGTGGGTGGGTGAGTGGGTAACTGAGTGGGTGGGTGAGTGGGTAAGTGAGTGGGTGGGTGAGTGGGTAAGTGAGTGGGTGGGTGAGTGGGTAAGTGAGTGGGTGGGTGAGTAGGTGAGTGGGTGAGTGGGTGGGTAAGTGAGTGAATGGGTGGGTGGGTGGGTGAGTGAGTGGGTGGGTGGGTAAGTGAGTGGGTGGGTGGGTGAGTGAGTGGGTAAGTGAGTGGGTGGGTGAGTGGGTGAGTGGATGGGTGAGTGAGTGGGTAAGTGAGTGGATGGGTGGGTGAGTGCACTGTGACCTCAGTATGTCTGAGAGGAAGCAGTCTGGGAGACCGAGTCCTCAATCATTGGTGAAGGAATCAATGAATGATGTTAAATGTGAATACAAAATGCTCATAAAAAAACATATACATAAGATAGATAACAATTGTTATTAGCTGTGGGCCTAGGTTGTGGGGAGCATAGGGCAGTGTAGCAAAATCCATTGTTGTACTGTGGATATATCCTCCAATATCTGTGCCACCCACCCCCTGTGGTTCCAGGATCGGCCTCATCAGCTACCTGCATACCCACAAACCCTGGCCATCATTGCTGTCCATGGAAGATCATCATACTCGACCTTGAGGGAACCCAAATGATGATGACCCAACCCACACTGTGACCAGCGTGGTGTAGTTATGGTCAGTGTGGTAAGGCCCTCATCCAGGAGCGAAGTGACAAAAGATCTGGACACAGGTCACTGTGGTTACAATCGTACACTTCAAATGTATTCCAATCATATGTTTGTTTTGAATTAATTCTCCGCGAGCGTATACTTATCATAAATAATTGCCCTCAACCCACTGCTGGATGAAGGCCTCTGCAATGTCTCGCCACCTCTCACGAGCTGCAGTGTCATGTCTGTACTGTACAGTGAGGAATTTGAAGTTTGGAATCTGATTTATTGATTGCTTCTGTGGACAGGTGTCTTTTATACAGGTAGCAAGCTGAGATTAGGAGCACTCCCTTTAAGTGTGCTCCTAATCTCAGCTCGTTACCTGTATAAAAGACACCTGGGAGCCAGAAATCTTTCTGATTGAGAGGGGGTCAAATACTTATTTCCCTCATTAAAATGCAAATCAATTTATAACATTTTTGACATGCGTTTTTCTGGATTTTTGTTGTTGTTATTCTGTCTCTCACTGTTTAAATAAACCTACCATTAAAATTATAGACTGATCATTTCTTTGTCAGTGGGCAAACGTACAAAATCAGCAGGGTGATCAAATACTTTTTCCCTCACTGTATGTAAAACAAAGAAAAAAATGTTACTCGCACATTTGCGTAACATTGCAGACAGCGGTGGAAATGCAACTTGGGCAATGCCTAACGTTTCAATCTTTCCTTTGTGGTTTATTTTTTTCGTCGTCAAAAAGCAGAAAGAGCCGGGAAGGTTTCCCGTCGTCAGACAAGCGACTCCAGAATTGGCGCCGAAACAAAGACGAAGGCGGGAGAGATTCCGCGGCAGCTGAAGAGAGATTGAGGTCTCTCTTTAACAAGGGCCCAATTTGTCCACTGATATGCCAGGAACAAAAAAAACACGCATAACAGGGCCCCTTTACTGTGGTCTGTGACTTTGTAACCAAACCTGGCAGGAATGGCAAATAATTAGGGCGACAATGGCATATAAAAGCGAAAGATCTAAAGACAGGTTACGCTCCTTAGTAATGTTAAAAAAAAAAGTCCCGTCTGAAGATCTTCTATATTCCTACCTAATTTTCTCGTGTTTTCACCCCCCCTTCCCTGCCCCTACATGCCCCCCCCCCACCTTTCCTTGTTTCTGTACGTTTTTAGACATTTTACAGAAATAATGCGCGGGGAGCTTTTTTTTGTAAAGGCGAATTTTTTTTTGTGTAATTGCGATCAGGTAGGTGTGAAATGAAACTTCTTGATAATGAATTATTAAAAAAAAATAATCATCATCATAATACTAGACACCTATGCTGCATTGCCATATTCTAAAAGTAGTTATTCGTTGATTGAATTACTACATTGTTTCCCATATGTAAAGAGCTTGTGAATGCTGCAGTGGTGTCAATGTTGGCGCAACAATTCACCCTCTGGTTGCCCGGCGATGGAGTCAATTGCCATTCAGGTTTGTGATTCAAGAATCACAAATGGTAGTACCCCTCGTGGCTGCAGGGGTGACTTAACCCATGGCAAACGACAAACACAAATGAAATCAACGTCCATACAAGCAATGAGATGCATGTATTATGAGTGTAATGATTGATACTAATTGATTATTCCCCCCCCATCCCCCCCACCCCCGTTAATAATTTGAGCTGTGTTGATTTATGCACATATTTTATCTGAAACGTTACATCACCATCCGCTTTCAGCATCCTGAATATGGCACGTAATCAAGTCTTGTCGAAACAAGCCATGCTTCCACAACATCTACGCGTATGCGTAATAAATCATTTGCTCTGCCAACTAATTTCATTACATATTATTTGATGGGGTTTTTTTTTTTGCCAGTTACCTCAAGAAGAAAGTTACCTCAAGAAGAAAGTTGTTTTGATCATGGCGCAGTCCTTGCTGTGACATGGATCGTAAAATCTGACAGACAGACCACAAAAGCCTGACGAGTGCACGAAACAAACACGGAGAGCCACGCACTTAAAGAGTCGCACTCACGAGACAGAGGTGAGCAACACGTGGGTTATGAACCGCACGCGAGTCGGAGGCATAGCATTGACCAAAGGCAAGCTTACGTGGTCCTTGGCAAGGCAGGTGAAGATTGACGGCAGAGTGGCAGACCAAAGGAGGGAACGTGCCCGCGAATACGCCCACCGGGTGAGATGGAGCAGCAGAAGTTTAGATGGTTCGTTTACACGGCAAGACAGTGAGGAGTTTGGAGACGGCTTCCGAGATGCCTTCATCCTGCAGTGGATAGAGCATGGCCGACGATGCTCATGTCTCGAAAATAAAAAAAATAAACCATTGCCAGTCAATAGGAACAGCCCCTGAGTCGTTAAAAACTCGCCCCAAAAAAAATATTCTGCTCATCACCTGCTGGTTTAACGACATTTTTATTTTACGCGATCTAACCCAACAAGAACCTCTATTGTGGGTTAAGTCAAGTACAATGCGCTGTTTTTTTTTTTTAAGACGTGACCGTGAACACGGGGGGTGGTCTGAGCGAGTGGTGTGGAGAGAAGAAATAGAACACAAAACGGGACGCCAGGCAACGCGCGCACCCCCTCGTAATGCCAATTTATTTTGAATGCGAGACTCGGAGAAGGCCAAAGCGCTTGTCCCCTTTTGTCGGTCCCTTCTATGTGCGCCTGCGTGTACGTTAGGCCTCGAGGGAAGCCCAGGGAAATGGGCGACACAAACAAAATGCCCACTGCACAAAGGGTCTAAAAATAAAAGCTCGTTAATCACAGCATTAAAAAGAATTGCTGACCGGCATTCGCCTCGGCGTGCCGTTTTTTTATTACTACTATAACACTTTCTCTCTCTGTCTCTCTCGCTCTCTTTGAACTTGCACCTAGGAAAGTCACATCACAGCCCAGGGACTGCATTTCCTGCGTGCAGGGACCAACGATGGTCTCTCTCTCTCTCTCTGTGTGTTCCTCTTCTGCGTCTGCATCTCCATGCGTCACTCCTTCTAAAGCACTTAGAGAGAAAAAAAAAAGAAGCCAAAACGTAAAGTGAACGTTGCGCAGCCCTGCAATTGCTCGGTCAGATCACCCGCGAGCTGAAGTCTGCTAGACGGAGCTCTGGAAAGCACCTCTTGAGTGTACTTTAGCTGGCCTACTCTTCTTTACTGGCCAGACGTCTTGAAGGAGCTGGGAATACCCACACTTTACACTCCTCCACCCCCACACGCGAACCTGCCGATCAACTTAACTGTGCTCTGCCCCTTTCTACTTTTGGGTGGGCGGAGGCGGCCGGCAGGTGAATTTAAAAAAAAAACGGTGCTGGGAGATCGAATTTAACTGACCTCCGCCTGGATTGCTGACCACAGAATTGCACTTAGCAAGAGTGCACTCGAGTCGTATTCCCGCTGGGAAATAGTGGTGGAAACGTGTTCCCATCTTTTCCCAGCCGGTCCAATTCACGCCAAAAGGGTGGCAGCATTAACAGTTTCGTCTATTGTTTTGAATTTTTTTTGTTTGCTATTCTTCTTCTCGTCGCGGGGAACGCCGCGCTGCAGAGCTAGTCCGCAGATCCTCAGCGCCGCATATCAGGGCCACTTTCTTCGCATAAACCTCCAATGTGCTCACACACACACACAGACACGTGCGCGCGCTTACACATGACCCAAGAAACAAAATGGCTTGCATTAATGGCTCTGACAGTGGCAATAATAAACAACGTGCACGTCGCTGGCGTGAGGTGGGTTTGGGCGCTCGAATCGGGTGAAAGGCGCCCAGGAGGTTGCGAGGCTAAAACATATTTTAGGGCTGTTTCTCACGAACCTCCGGGGCAATTGCAGTGCAGCGAGCACCGGCACAAAAAAGCACTAAACAGCAGGGAGTGAAAGCAACGGTCAATTAAGTAGTCCTCTATAATAATAACAATTTACAGCCCCGCGTCAATCCACTGTTGGATGAAGGTTTCCCCCACCAGTGAGTGGCGAAGCGTGGTTGGCGAGGGATGAATTGGGCCCAACCACACCCCGCGTCCATATTCTTTCGTAGTACCAGCGACCGGGCCCCTGGGGCAGTTGCACCGCCTGCACAGTCGATGGCCATGGCACTTAACTCCCCATGCCTTTTTTTGGTGTTGGGGAGTTTTGTTAGGCCATAGCTCGCCATGCTGGTAAGTATCAGAATCGGATAATCTATTTATACTGGAGGAATCCGATGAGCTGTAAAGCTCTTTTTCACAGATGTCCAGTCGGGGCGAGTAAGAACGTTACAACAACAAACAATACAAAAACAGGAGTGCAAAGTACAATGAAGCTAAACAAAACACTCAAACACGTACAAATAAAACTAAACCATCCCCATCCTACCAGGCAAAGCTCACTGATGTATTACATTATTTCTCAAAAGAGACCGAGCCACAAATGATTGCTCAACAAAGTGGCCCATCATTTGGACATTTATAGCAGCAAAATAATATAAACAGTCTAAAGTGTGAGTGGGTGGCAGGAGCTCAGAACTGGTTCAGATATCGCTCACCACTGACGTTAGGCGTGGCTGGGAATTCAGGTTCATTGAGTTGCATGTTATCAATCTTCGTCCACGACCTTATTATGCATCTGCTGTGTCATGTCGTGTAATTTGGGGAGCAATAGTGTAGTGGTTAGGACATTGCGCTACGAACCCGACAACCAGAGTTCGATTCCAACTCACGGCTAACATTTGCGACGAATGTCTGAACCGGTGCTGGGGCCTCTTTTAGGTCGACTCAGCCTCAAGTGAATACCTGGAGAATGTGAGTAAACATCAATACTGGGGAGACAAAGGCAGCCCAGGAGTGATGGTGGTTGTGGTCCTGGCCACACCACCCACTCGTAACGCTGCGCCGTCCATCATAGGCGCTTGCTAACAGCACTTTTCCACAGTCTGTATGTCTGTAGGGGGATATTTGGCTTTGTGTGTGGTTTGGACTAAAACATCCGTTGTAATAATCGCCGTCATCAAGTTTGGTCTGCTGCTGCCGCTGTCGTTGTTAATATGCGAAAACATTTGGATAAAAATCCCCAGCTTGCAGTGAACGTTAGTTCACCAAGACGTTGGCAATTTACCATCCCCCCCACCCCCATGGATGTGACGACTCATTAAATAAACGTACATTTCCGTGATTATCGCCCGACGCTATGAAATCAACTTTTTACACTTCTGTGGCTGAATTGAAATCCTGTAGTCACGTCCAGTGGAGTGAACTGCGTCAATTGTAAGTGCTGCCGTTCACGTGGCCGCTTGTAAAATATTGTGTTTTGTCTTGCACGAGCCTATATCGGACGCGGGATCCTCCATCATCATGGCCCGCTCTCCCACCCTCTTTGGCTTCCGGTTCGCCCAACGAATTGCGTGATAATGTCTCACTTGTCACACACAGACGCGCGCACACACGTGCGCGAAACCACAGCGTGCTTGCCACAAACGAACCACCAACAACGTCGCCAGATCTCGCACCAAGGAGCGTAAAAGAGCAAACATCGCTCGAACTCCGGTCATCAGCGGAGGCGGCCGGCGGGCTTTTGGCTCAGCCATGGAACGACCCAAAAAAGTATGGATTCCTGCAGTCACGAAAGCTTCAAATCAAGATGAAAAGAGACGTTGGCAGAGGGCACCGCGGTCGCGCGCCTTCCGATGCACTTCTGCGGCGGCCGTCTGGAATGCCGCCTCTTTCCTTCCGGTATTAGGAAGCCACTGGGAGCGAGCACACTTTTTAAGTCACCAAGATTGAAGGCGCATTTCTTTAGAACTACTTTTTGTGGATTATAGAGGGGTAGTGTATAGTGTAGTGTAGTGTATAGTGTAGTATACTAGTACAGCACTAGTGTATAGTGTAGTGTATAGTGTAGTGTATAGTGTAGTATACTAGTACAACACTAGTTAGTTCATAGTTCATTTTTTTGGTATAGCCCTGTGAGCCATTCGGCTCTTGAATCGGGTGCAACCGCAACAAACAAAAAGCATGAACAAGAAAACATCTTAAAGTGATTATGTGACTGTGCAAACAGAAAATACAGGAAAAATATCAGTCTAACTCCGTACTACAATAAACAAAAACATGGCCAAAACAAAAAAAAAACTTTTCGAAATCACCAAAATAAAACCATAAATCCAATGTAACAGTGATCATAGGGACTGTGACCGAATTTTTTACAATAAACTACATAAATAAATGATAACACCAAAATCTAGAGCCATATTTTAGGCCACTGAATAGCAATGGCAGCTAGGGTTGTACAACTCCTCTAGAGCAGTTTTGAGTGAAGATCTCATAGGTAGTGATTCAAGTTGCAGTTTATTGGCAATAGCATTCCAGACCCTGGGGGCATCAATAGCAAAGGCCCTTCCTCCAGTTTTTGTACGGCAATAGGGAATGTGAAGCTGGTAAATGAGCGAAGACCTAAGGTCAAATTTGTTCTTTGAAACAGAGAGGAGATCCAGTAGGTAGTCTGCGGATTTTTTTTGTAAGTACATCGTGAATAAATAAGATATGGTGCACAAGCCGTCGAACATTAAGAGATGTTAAGTTTGACCCAATGTAGAGATCACAGTGGTGAGTCCTATATGGGCAGTTCAATGCAAATCTTAAGGCCGAGTGATAGATGGAATCAAGCTTCTTCAGTACAGTACTTGGGGCTGATTTATACACGATGTCACAGTAGAGGCAGTATGGTAGCTTTTATCAATTCCAAACGGAACATTGGGGGGAAGCAGTGCTTGTGTAGATACAGAAAACCAATTTTTCTTTTGGTCTTTTTACCAATATACTCAATGTGATCTTCAAAACTAAGTTTTTAATCCAGGATGACCCCAAGATACTTATAGATCTTGACTTGCTCTATTTGAAAATTATTCAAGGAATGTAATTGGGGAAAAATAACTTCCTGCTTTAGTCCCGGAGAGAAGCATAGCACCTTGGTTTTGGAGGTATTCAGGACTAGTTTAAGAGAAACTAGCTGATGTTGTAGTTTGTTGAAATCACCCTGGAGCTTAGCAATCACGTCATCCGGAGAGCGGCCAGCAGTAATCAGTATCGTGTCATCTGCAAAAAGATTTACCCTGGAATGATCCAGTTCAGTGCCCAAGTCATTGACATAAAGAGAGAACAAGAGGGGGCCGAGGATGGAACCCTGTGGAACCCCTTTTGTTATCTTAACACTGTTTGACCTCCAACCATCTGTGAATACAGTTTGGGTGCGAGAAAAGAGGTCATTTTTTAACCATTGTACTGTGTTCTCGGAAAAA